CAAACCAATCACCCCGTCAACTCACGTAATAACAAACGAACATAGAATAAGAAATAAATAAGGGAAAATGGCTACAATACTTAAAACAACCAGCCTGGTCATTACAACAATATCAATCAACTTGGGAAGCACGCAAATCGAATTCTTATTCAGAGGCACCGACTTCTAGTAGGAATAAAAAATCTAAATAAGATCATCTTGAAGGTATGGCTGATATGTTGAGAGGTGGGATGAATAATTTGGCTAATGCAATTAATCGCCTCTTAATTATGTCACCCATTCATGAGAGTGAGATATCGCAAATGGAACAAGAGTTAGGATTTGGAGTCTAGTATGCACATGAAAGCTTATATATTTCCTTGAAAACATGAAGTTTTGTGCTGCACATTGATTGGGTGTCCATTGAAAAACCACAAATTTCTTTTACTGACCTTGATGTCATCATGTGACAATTGAGTTAGCCTAATATTATTTATGCTTTAGCTATTAAGGATTTTATAGATGATATGAGTATTTCGATATTAATTTTATATGTCACTGTAACGACCCACTTTGTCGTTTTAAGAATTAACACCCTGTTCATCGACTTAAGGTCCCGAGCAACTTCGTAATATGTATTATGACTTGCGCGTGTGGTCGAGTTTGGTTTTTGGAAGGTTCAAAATTTAATTGGAAGAACAATCCTTAGTTTTTGAAGCTTAAATTAAAAGAGTTGACCGGAGTTTGACTTTTGAGCAGACTCTGGAATAGGATTTTGATGATGTTAATAGTTTTTTATGGTGATTTCGGACTTAGGCGTATGTCCGAATTTTGATTTAGAGGTATGTAGGTCATTTCGACATAAATTGGCGAAAGTTAGAAAATGGAATTTGAAAGTTTGACCGGGAGTTGACTTTATCAATATAGGGGTCGTAATCCGATTATGGAAGTTGGAATAGGTCCGTAATGTCATTTATGACTTGCTTGCAAAATTTGAAGTCAATCAGAGTTGTTTTGATATAAATCGGCATCAATTTCGGGATTTGGAAGTTCATAGTTCATAGGCTTGAATTTGGGTTGCTTTTTATTGGATCGAGATAGTTTTGATGTTGTTATGTGTGATTTGAGGCCTTGAGTAAGTCCGTATTATGTTATGAGACTTGCTGGTATATTCGAACGGGGTCCCGAGTAGCTCGAGTGAGTTTTGGAGTGGTTTCGGACCACTTTTAGGCCTTTTGGAACTGCTGCTAACTGGTGTCGGAAGTGTGCTATGCGATCGCGGAGGTCTGGGACGCGATCACGAAAAGTAAAGTGCAATCCAGGCCTTGTGAAATACGATCGCGGAAGGAAGAGCCGCGATCGCGTAGAAGGAAATTCTGCTGCAGTGGCCCGACTTTGCAAGATTTTATCTTGCAATCTATAATGAATTTGGAGATGATCCAAAAACGAAGGTTGTAGCCCTTTGTGCTAGTTTTCAGAAAACTAAACCTTTTGTAATTTGGAGTTGTTTATATAAAGTTATGATTGATATACTATAGACTGTCTGGGAAGAGTTTGGAAATCGCGAAAACAAAATTTCTGCTGTACATGGCTGATTTTGGAAGCTTATATCACGCAATCTATAAGGAATAAGGAGATTATCAAAACATGAAAGTTGTATCCCTTGATGTCTAGTTTTCATAAAGTTAAACTATTTGTCATTTGGAGTTCTATATAAATAGTTATGGCTATTATACTACATGCTATCTGAGAAGAGTTAATAGAATTTGTTCATCGTGATCGCGAGACAATGGCCGGGATCGCATAGAGTAAAATTGTTCTGAAATTTTTTTTTGCTTCGCGATTGCAAATAATATTCCGCGATCGCGAAGGGTAAATCCCTGGACAGAACATATATTGGGGGTTTGGTCATTTTCTTTATTTTTGGATTTTTGGACCTCGATTTTGGGTGATTATGGAGGGATGTTTCACAAGCTTGATTGGGGTAAGTATTCTATATTCGAAAGTGATTATATTTCATGATTATATAGTTATTTTCATCAATTATTAGTGAATCAAATGGAAGAAATTGTGATTTTTACAAAATCTTTCAAAAATAAAAATTTAAGATTTGGAGGTCGATTCGTTATCGAAATTTGATAAAATTGGCATGGTTGAACTCGTATCGGAATGTGTGTTCGGATTTCGTAAAAATTATGTCGGGTTCTGAGAGGCGGCCCCGCGTTGACGTTTGGTTGACTTTTTAATGTAAAATTTTAAGTTGACGTTTTATTATCCGGAATTATTTCCGATAAATTTTAGTGAAGTTTTACAATTAATTTGGATAGATTTGAGCTGTCGGGAGGTCAATTCAAGCAAAAAGGTTATTTTGGAATATCGACATAGCTTCAAAAAGGTAAGTATCTAGCCTAACCTTGAGTGAGAGAATTTTCCCTTAGGCATTGAGTCTTATGTGAAAATTGTGTGATTGAAAACCATGTACGCAAGGTGACGAGTACGTACTCGATTTATATGTGCAAATTATATTAGTTGAAATTTATAGACACCCTTATGTGAAAATTGTGTGATTGAAAACCATGTACGCAAGGTGACGAGTACGTACTCGATTTATATGTGCAAATTATATTAGTTGAAATTTATAGACACCCTTATGTGAAAATTGTGTGATTGAAAACCATGTACGCAAGGTGACGAGTACGTACTTGGTTTATATGTGCAAATTATATCAGTTGAAATTTGTAGATACCCTTATGTATTAAATTGAAAAATTATTGGAACTTAGTAAATCCTTGATTTGTCATGCCTTAGTCCTTGTTTGTCTAGTTTGTATTTTATATGATAATTTGGGGTGCTTGACACTTGGATTTTTATGTGAATTCCATATGCTTGTTGAGTTGACATTTCCTGAAAATAATTACATTATGGTTTTTCCATCTGCAAATAATTAATTAAATAAGTTTAAAATGAGGCATTAATATATTTATCAAAAATTTGGATTAAAGAAGGTATTGTCCTATGCTGAGTTACTTTTCCATCTCTGTTGTTGTTGTTGTTGTTATTTTTGAGGTTTTATATACATTGTGTGTGTTGACATCCAATTTTGTCCCTTCTTTCTTCCAAACTATTTATTTAAGCTTCTAATATTACTAATAATATAAAATAGGCATTCTATTATTTTTAACACAAATTCACTTATTTGTTGTTATTATTAAAACTATTACTACTATAGTTATTATTATTATTATTATTATTGCAAAATATAATTACTTTTCCTTTATATAATCAATTAATAATATATATTTTTTGTAATTCTACATTTTATAAATATTTAATCTTATGATGGCATTTTACTTAACAATTAGTGTAGGTTATTTAGCAAATTTTAGCTATCATGATTATTTTAAGGCACATTAAATAGTTTAATTAATATTAACGTATTAATATTATGTAGTATTATATAATATAGCTAATAAAAGTATTTTAAATCTAAATAGAAGCCTAAAGAAATATACAAAGAAGAAGGGAAATGTTCAGCACTCTAGGCCCAAATTTCGGCTAAACTAGCCTGCCAATGAAGCCTCCAAATCAGCCCAATTTGCCTAAAGACAGGCCCAACCCACCAAAATGGCCCACAAATTCTACCCAATCTGCTGAATGAACAAGTGACCAACAAAACCTAACTCTTTTTGGTTCTAGACTATTCTTTTTAGTAAAAATTACTTTTGTACCCCTCATTAAATGTAGCAAAAAGAATAGCCCTCTCTCTTTTCACGTGTAGAGCTATATCTTTCCTAAGAAAAACTTTTTGACTTCCCAAATCACATTGTCTTTTTCCCATTCAGATTAGGGCTGCTTATCGGGCGGATTGGGCGGTTAATTACTCTGAATGGTTTAGCTTAACAGTTATCGGTTTTTAAATGTATTAATCCGTTAGCCACCCGATAAGATATCAGGCGGATTGGTATCGGTTTAGCTCTTATCGGGCGGTTTATCGGCCTAATTCAATCTATATTGCGTGCGTTAATTGTTTGTTGAACTCCTAGCATACAAATTCAGAATAGGAAATTACACATTGAGTCCAGACATACATGTCTGTTAACGCCTACATAAGAATGATGTAGTGTGTGATGTGGTGTAGAGTGAAAAAAGCAGAATACATTGTAGTTTACCTTACATCCCAAAGCAGACTATATGATATGATGTAATTAAGGAAAAAGTAGTTCTAATGGATATGCCACTGTAACTCTTGCTAGCTATAACATGGATCATACAAGGATATCAAATTTCATTGAGATAACTATGTGATTGCCTGGGTTTAGATGCAAAGGAATAATTTCAGTAGTTTAGCTCATTAAATATAATGGTATCTAAGCTTTTATTAATTTATTCATAGCACAAACGAAGCAAAATTACAATAAATGTGCGGTCCTTCCCTTTGTTTCTTGTTCATTTCTCTTAGAAAGGTAACAATATATTAATAATTAACACAAAGGCTGTGCTGGAGCCATATTTACAATTTTAAAAAGCAAAAATATGAGCTTGCTCTTCATACTAGGGCACTAAGATAGAGTGCTGGAAGCCTGGAAGTCGACGAGATAGAGTATTGCGGGTGGCTGCTGGAGTGCTGGTTGAATTTCTACTGAAGCTGGTTGAATTATGGTTGAATAAAGAGAACCATAATTCTGCTGGTGGCTGCTTGCTGAAGTTTAGGCATTAGGGTTCTGATTATTTAGGAATTAGGCGTTAGAACTTAGAGATAGAGTACTGGAAGAAGTGGAAGGGTTTTTGATATTTAATATATATATATATATAAAAAAAATTATATATATAAATATTCTTAACGGGTTAACGGATTATCCGTTAAGAAAATTGAATAATCCGCCCCCAAACCGATAAGCCGTTAATAAAAAAAATTCAATCCGTTCCCCGTCCGTTAAACCGTTAACTCGATACCAATAAGTCATTAAATTTCGATTTCGGTTCGGTTTTCGATTTCGATTCGGTTTTGAACACCCCATAATCTTCCTTACTTTGACCTCCCATGGCAGATATTATGTCACACCATTTTGGTGAAACTTCCGGCCACTCTCGCTGCCAGCGGCAGAACGGTAATACTACCGTTTCAAAGTTTTGAAATTCAAAGTCACCAAAATTTCCGCCAAAAAATGCCCTAATTCGCACCTATAAATATCAGCGTTTGTGAAGCTTGAGCTCCCTTTTTTAACCTTTGTTTAGCCGCCATCCCTACCTCTCAAAATTTCCTTCTTTTAAATCTCTCAGTTCTGTTGTTTTTTAACCAAACCAGAAGCATTTTTTATTTATTTATCCCGGCGATTAACGTTGGTTCGAGGTAGCAAGTCCGAGGCCGGAGTTTGATAGTGCACCTTAGATCTCCACCTCAGTTCACTGCCCTAAAGCAGGTCCGTGATTACTATCTTCTTTTCGATTCAAAATTTAAATGTGGTCATATTCTGTGCGTGTTGTGAAATAATTTTAGCTTCTCGTTTTGCTTTTGTGTTTCGCCTATCCTAAATAAATTCCAGTATGCTGCTTGTTAACTTCCGTTAATTTGTTATCTCAAACCATATCTTTAAGAAAATATATATTCTGGCCATGTCACTAAAACACAATTGATCAATATTAAACAAAAATCTGGTGAGCATCTTACTTGTGTAATAATGCTCTGGGTCTCGCGGACTAGCTCGTCGTAACAGTATGTTTGGTCTCTTAACAATAAATACCAGCATGTCTTATCCTCTGCTTAACCGATTATATGTTTATATCTACCTCTGCATAAAAGACATGTTTTAAGATTTCATCTTTAGTTAACCAAATTTATCTGTCATAAAGGAGGTGTTAAAGCCGTAAAGTGAGTAGAAATCGTGTCTATAGGATTTAAATACTAAGTATTAGATTTTCCATCATCTAGAGACCGTGCCTCTAGAAAAATATATTCTGACATTATAATGTTAAAGCATGTCTAAAATTGTTATCATATTTGTTAAAATGATCAATGATGCTATGTTTACACTTTGTTAGAAACCAATTTTTAGGCATTTTTCTTGTTTCTGTTTATTATATGTGTTAGTGTTTGTCTAAGCATTTAGTTTTCTCCCTGTAGACTTAAAACTAACAAGAACCTCAAAAGGGTAATTGCTGGACAGAATTTAGTGTAGCACTTGAATTTAAGAGCATATTTTCTTTAATACTACAATCCAGTTATAGTATTTCTAAGTCTCAAGTTCATCAATAATGACGAACGGCCTTTCCTTGTCCAAAACTGAATATCCAGATATGAAGAACATCTAGCTATTATGGGTTAAGTTTTTATCTGTTTTTAGTCGCACTCTAAAAGGGGTTTATACTTGAAATTTTAAAATATTTTTTAAGTTCATATAATTGCCCATGCATTTCATTATCTGTTATACATAGGTAATATAAGTTTCATGGTAGCATAAATGATGGTAGTAATATGAGATGATGAGCTATGAGTGTACTATTAACTTATTTAGATAACTGGAACATCAATATGACTTGAACTGATTCTGCTTATTATTAACCTCTGCTCTTTAGCATTATAGGAAATAGATTTCTCTCTTCCCAATTCTTGTTTTATTCTCTCTTTCGCATATGCACCTGGAGCAAAATGGAGTCTCACTGAGACTCAACATCACCCCACCATGGAGTCATCACATCCCGTACCATCTTTCATAGAGTGCACCAGATAGCGAGAAAACAAGCAAAACGCTTGGGGACGCCCATGGCGTCCTTCTTTTATTTCTTTTGCCATTTCATTGTATCTTCCTTTTTATTTATGTGTTTTGAGGTTTATCCCTATTTTGGGATTTTGTTTTTTTGGAGCTCATTATTAACATAGGATTAAATAGCTATGTCTTATTAAATCACATAGTATCTCCACTCTAGTTATTAGTTTGCTATACTAATTTTTTAAAGTCAAGAGTTTGAAAATAATTTGCTATACTAATTTTTTAATAAAGGACGTTAGATTTAGGAGGCATCATTTGTAAATCAGTCTTAAACCAAGTTCCTTAGCACTTAACAGTCAGATTTCTTAATACAAAATTTGAATCAAATATTTAAAAGAAGTGAAACCATATTTTCGTAAAACTTTTCTTTGAAAACAAGTTCTTACAAAACGATAGGTTTTCTTTAATCAGATTTTGATGGCTTTCTATTTTTACTTATTAATTAACAACCTAAGTTGGCCGGTTAACCGTAATTAGCGGATCATATAGGGTGCCTTAATAACCTTTCCTATAGGATTAATTGAGTTCACTTTAAGCAGGATTTAGCTAAAATTGGTGTCCTAATTCGCCGTTAAAATAATTAGGTGGCGACTCTCTTTAATTAATTAAACCCTGGTCTTTCCAATATGTTATACTTTGTTTTGACCCGTGTTAAAATGGGGTATAACAATGTGGAACCTTGGGCTATTTGTTGTGAAATGAATTGATTTTATTGTATCTTTGGAATTGGTTGTGGCCTATGGGTAATTTGTGATATGAATTATTGTATTGTGTTGTAGTGATAATACTCGGTGTAAATTGTTATATGATTTGGGTTACTGTTATGTGGTGTATCCACTATTGATATTATGTGCGTATAAGGGTGACATTTCACTGTAGTTATGTGTGTTGGGATATTGTCAAGGCGGAGTGATATGGGTGGCTATTATTATGGAGTGATACATGTGGCTATAGGAGAGATAAGAGTGACTATTGTCAGGGATGATACGTGATGATGTGAGATTATTGTGTTGGTGATTTTTATATGATTTTGTGATTTTTCTGGTGTTTACGTTTTGTTGTTTCGGTAAACTTGATAATAAACTGATTCATGTTGAAATTGTGAGTCTGTGGCTATTGCCGGGCGATTTATATTATTGGCACGTGAGTTGTCCTTGCGGTTATGAAAGAAATATGGGCATGGGGTGCCGGGAAAATATGATGATTTTATTATTGGCACGTGAGTTGTCCGTGCGGCTGTGATAGAAATATGGGCACGAGGTGCCGTGAAAATCTGAAAGTGGGCTGAGACCCGTAAAGAGTGTGAAATGAGGTGTCACATTGTGACTTTTATTTGAAAGAATTATATTCGAAAGATTTTATTTGGAAGAATTATATTTGAAGGATTTCACTTTAAAAGAATTATATTTGAAAGATATTTATTTGAAAGAATTATGATTGAAAGATATTTATTTGAAAGAATGATATTCGTAAGATATTTATTTGAAGGAGGTATATTCGAGATATATTTAATTGAAAGAATTATATTCTAAAGATTTTTATTCGAAAAACTTATAGATAAAAGATGCATATTTTGAAGGACTTGATTAGTTGGTTGTGCTTGTGTCATTATTCACTACAACATAATGCATTTATAGCTACAAAACACAACATAGCAAATTATGAAAATTTCCGAGGCTAAACATTTTAGTCACAATATATTTTTCCGTAGCATCGTAGCAAAATGTAGCGTAGCTAAAAGTTAGTTACAAACTTTACATGATACGTGGCTAAAGATTAATACTTATTGCTTCATAGCAAATAATTTTTATACTTTTGCCATGATAAATATATTTATAGCAAATGATTTTACACTCTTGCCACAACAAATTAATTTGTAGCTATTTTTATATGGTAGCCACAAAGTGATATAGCGTGGCAAAAGATTTAAATTTATTTGCCACGGAAGTTTAGATATGTTATGCTTTCATATATTAGTTCGTGGCAAAAATATTTTTGTTTAGCTACGAATAAAAAGTTTTATGCTACAAATCATACAAAACAATCGAGGTTAGATTATTTTATTATTATTTTTGACAGAATATTGATTTTAGTAGCGATGAAAGTTCCTATCACCCTGTTTCTTCGTTATTTTATTTTTGTCTAAAAATTTTCAATTATTCTATGGATGTGCATGTTATATTAAAACTAATAGTAATAACATATTAGCTTGAGAAATAACTTATTACACAAATTGACATTTTAAAATTTTCACTAAATAAATTTCAAGATACACATTTATATTAATCAATTAATAGCATCTGCAGTACATAGCTCTTTTACAAAAAACTAAAATTTGAAGAAAAGAACTAGCCGATGTGAGGCTTGATGGTAATAGAGATCAGAAATAATGTACGGCATTCCACATTAAACGAAGATAAGCATTTGTTTGATGATTCATATAGTCCACCCCGTTTGATCTTGATGATTTATTTTGCCACCCTCAATGCACCAGTTGATCTTTATGCATCCAAGAACATATGAAGCACTTTCCGTAATTACTAGAATGAAATATAAAATATAATGATCTTGTGAGAAATTTATATTTGAATTATCAGAACATATACCAGTTAGATGCATATACCAGTTCAATGAATCACGGAATAAGCAAAAACTTAGCCACGAATCAGGTGCAAAAAAGATCTAAACTTGTTTCAACACAAAAAGGAAAAAAAAAAGCATTTAAATAAACATCATAAAACTTAAGAAGGTGGAATAAAGAAGAAAAACTTACGGTTAGTGTCACGACCCAAAATCCAACTAGTTATGATGGCACATAACCCGACCCGTTAGGTCTATCCAATTCCAATAATAATTATTAAAGCAATTTAAGTAAATAAAGGTCTTAATCTTATACAATCCTCAAGAACTGGTAGTACAAATCATGAGCTTCTAAGAATAGAGTTTACAAAGCGGAAATGAAATAAATACATAATCTGTTTGAATAATACATAAACAGAGCTTTCATAAATTTAAGGCTACCATGAACAAGAGGCAGCTACAACAGGAATGCAGGTATATCTTCAAATCCGGCAACCATCGAGCACAGCAACAACAACATCCAATATCTGCACGCAATGTGCAGAAGTGTAGTATCTACACAACCGACCCCATGTACTGAGTAAGTAACAAACCTAGCCTTAGGTTGAAAGTAGTGACGAGCTTCCACCAAGGTCTGGTCCAAAACCAATAGTCCACAACAGTCCATAACAACGTAAAGTAGATAATACCAAAAGTAACTCAGAAATAAAATGCTCAGCTAAATAATGATTTCAAAGATAATAGTTCTTTCTTTCAAGTACATCAGTGAAAACCCAATTCGTTTACCGAACTTGCCAAAAATATGAATAAGTTTGAAAACAATAATTTTTCCAAAATCCTTTAAATAATAAATGAGATGTTTCATTTTCTTTCGAGATAACCCGTGTAAAAACAAATGCATCACTATGCCCATCTGTCAAAAATGTGTGAAAAATCATGAATGATGTGATGCTGTACAGCATGAGGAAAATATATCTCTATGCCTGTATGTCATGTGTGCATGCCAATGCGGTGCAACTCAGTGATAAAATCATAAACAACCCCTCGGGCAGACCTCACAATCACTCGTATAC